CCATGCGATGCCTGAAGGTGCGAGGGCAGTGTGGGCAGTGGAGGCGAGTGCGGTGGGTGTAGGTTGGTGCTTCACGCACTGGTTCGCCAGTCTCTGTGCGATGGATTCGCAAGTGACCGACCAGGCCGATGTGTGAGGTGAATGTACGGTCGCAGTGAGGGCAGGTGTAGTCGTGATGCTCGTTCTATTTCTGAATAAAGTATGCACAGAAGCTAAAATACACGACAAGTACTGTTTCATATGTTTAAATGACAATGAAGTGAAATGACAATTCCGTAATGGTCATTTATTTGACATCGGGTAGAAGTTTCCAAACGGCAAAACAATTTCAGCCCACTTAAACGAAGGTCACGTACGGCATACATGGGTTCGAAGTCGCCTGTTGCGGTTAGGGGGCACACGTGCTGGTGCTCGAGCCTAGCACGGGACGCCGTTCGCAAACATGGACTACGCATTTGTGGGCTGTTAAGAAGTCTAGGTCGCTAAAGAGGGCTCAAGGACTCTCAGATGTGACTAGGAACTTATAGGTTATACATGTGTTTTCGGCCGTAAGCTGTAATGATACGGCAGCTGATATAGGTTTTGCGGTTCAGTTAGCGGCAGACTGGCAGTAGTTTTATGGGGCGCAATAAGTGATGGGGTAACTTATGAACGGTCGCAAGCGACACGTTGGCGCCGTCGTCTACTAACGTCCGAACCCAGTGATTATCCAGTGGCAACGGTACGATAAATGCAGGCACCGCGGAAAAGCCGCTAAGGCAGATAGAGTCAACGGAAATGGGCTTACAGAGTCGATTGTGGCCGCGGTGACGCGCCCAAGGTCCAAACGCTGGGCAATACTGCAGTCAGGACCGTGGTCTGAAAGACGCATAGGCAAGGGTTTTTTTATCCGAGGGCTGGGGCTCTTGGTAGGTGTGGGACAAATCGGATCTCGGGAGGGGGGGGGTCGATGGCTTTAGTGATAAATGGAGTACAGACGGAATTGTCGTAGAGCGGCCTCTGGTTTATCCGAAGGGCGAAGGAGGAAGTCGTCGGCGATTGTCGGGCCGAGGAGGCCTGCGATAAACCGGGGAATGACAAGGCATTCATGGCCGGGCGGGAGCAGGTTAGGGAATACTGCAGATGCGAGTCGCGTGAGTTCTGTGACAAATTCATCGATGGACCACCGGGGCGCTTGACGCAGAACGGCAAAACGATCCGCAGCGATGCCTAGCGATTCTAGCGCGTCGAAAATTTCTAAGATATATTGGCGGCCGGCATAAACAGCGTGTCGCCTGGTGGACGGGGAAAGAAAACGTAGAAAATGACATGTGTGTTGGGGTGGGGGGACGGTGGTTATGAGAATATATAATTACATAGCCAGTCCGGATTGCTGCGGCAGGGTCCATAAACGTTCGGCGCTAACAAAGAGGTAGACCCTGTGGCGTGCACATGGTCGGTTGAGGGAAGACGGACGGGTGTATCGACGAATGGGTCGGTGGGTATAGTAGCTGGCACTAATGTAATGACCGAGTGGGGAAGCACGGTTTGGGGCTTGTAGTCGCCAAATGGATTGGCTAGCGCGTTTAGGTTCTACTGGACGAAATGATAATAGTACTTCCTCCAACATCTTTATCTCATCGTACGGACTAGTTTGGGATATGGGCGATATGGACGTGATAACTGATAAGCAGATAAAAAGAAAATAGTTTATTTCCAATACGCATATTAAATAATAAAGATTACAGAACTTTGGAAAGAACAAAACCCTGGCTACGGATAACGGAACTTACAGAGACTAACAAATAGGTAAAATGATCGCGGGTCGGCAAATGAGTATGGACAAAAGTTACTTTATGCTAGTTCAGTGAAAGGACGCAAAAAGGGACATGGAACGTCAGAACTAGGCAATCTGGAAAAAGATAAATGAGAACAGGTGACTTAAAGGGAGGTCGCGGCGGGAACCGCGAGTCCGTGCCCACGTCGTTGTGAATTCTGAAAAAGAGGGAGGGGCCGAAATGTGTCGTTTAAAACAGTCGTCAGTTACGCGACCTCAGTAATTTTATCCGTCTTTGTTCACTATTTGTCGTACGGTTTCCCGACATCCATAATCATATACGTCTGCCGTCTTCAACGTACTGAGTAAATTCGATACTTAGTAGTCTAATACGTTATCTAACTAAATGTATAAATTATTTTACTGAGCTGCAATTCAGGAGGCGAAGAGAATGCGCCTCTTGCTTTAGCCGTAGTGTTCATTGCGAGCACGACCGAGCATTCCTCGTTCATGTACAGTCGCATAAAAGTTGATTTATTTTGTTTCCTTCAGATCAGTATTATCTAGATCTTGCTTACACTAATGGCCACTAATTCAATTTCCATGAACTTATTACCCACGGGTTTTTATTAGCGTACGCTCAGTTTCGGCTGCAAACCGTGAATATTTATGGCCAGAAAAAGCGCCTAATTAGTCGGCTTTCCAAGAAAAGCGCGATACTGCCGTCTCCGGGTTTCTGGAGATGTTTATCCTGCAGTGTTTCTGACGACTTTTTGATCGCCTATCGCATGACATGATTTAAATCAGTCGGCTATAGCCGACTGTGATTCGCGTGTCATTTTTGCCTTACAATAATGCCATTCCTCTTTCAGAAAGACCCGTGCCATGGTTGCGGTTGATGGAGGCCATTTTAAATCGCACAAGTTAGTCTGAATGTATCTAGTCTGCGTGAGCCTTAATGGTTGTCGATATCGATGGATATTACGTCGATCTCGACATGTCGAGGCATATATGTCGTCTGGATGTCGACTTTGGCCATTTTGCTGATATACTCCTAATGTCGACTTGTCGAGATTGAACGGCGTAGGCGAAAAAGTGTTGTTTTGCTATGCATAGCAGATAAACATTTAAAGTACACCGATAAAACGTACACTATAAAACAAGTATCATGTCAGCAGGAATTGATGGTAGAATTAAACATGGGGCATTTTATCTAAAGGCTCTAGATGTAGTGCCCCATGCCTTATTTCCTCCCTCATTTCCTGCTGACATGTAACTTGCTTTATCATGTATTAGCCGGTGTCGAGGACTTTGGACCCAAAACGGAACCCGCATAAACCGTGAAGAAAGGCTAGCTGTATTTTGTCAGTTATTTATTAATAATATATAGCAAATTAGGAAAATAGCATACAAAAGTAGCGTCTGCGGCAGATACAGTCCGTATCCACTAGTTGCAGTCGCGTATTGGTCTGATGTAGACGGCCTGACTACCTTTTCTGAAAGTTAGATATATGTACGATATGTATGCACTTGGCTTACCATTCACTTCTGAAACTGTTTGACTTCTTTTTGGCCTTTTGCCTGCCGCGTCCAGGGACCTCTCTAGGCGTTTGGTAAAGACGGCCTCCAAATCATAGACGTCCCCGCGCTCCCATCTGTTCCACCTTATGTAAAGTCGGTGTGGCGTAGCTTTAGTAGGATATGCAGTGAATTACATGTAATCAGTTCGTACAACTTTGAACTGCACAGGAGAACCTTTTTTCTTACGGTCTTTGAGGGTGACATCATCGTCAAATATCGCATAAAACATATGTTTCACAAAATCGTCAGTATTTGGCCTTTCGAGGCGGGCAATAGCGGACGCCTGGCCAGGATATCTCGTTTGGTGTTCGCCACATCCAAGGAGCTTGGAACATTCTCGTTTCCCTAGGCGTTTGTTACTTTGGCTGCTTAAGAGCGTCATAGTATATGGAATCGCCTTTACTTATTTTCATACACATCCGTAATGCACGTCAGACCGTGACCCACCTCACCGGCTGCTGCAGTTAATTCACCGCCAATCACTCAGCAAGACACTGGTACATGCATGAGGATAGTTAGCGCGGCCAATACTGAGTTGCCCGTTCTGATTGCCATTAAGCCCTCTCCTCGCAATAATTAATGCGACGCGCTTACCTCTATCACGGCGTTTTAAAATTACTGGTTTTGAAGACTTTACCAACAGGATAACTTAGTTCTCCAAAATGAGGGCCAGACTGCACCGGCCGCTTAATGGGATTTTTGTGTCATCTCTCGCTTCTGTGATATCGAAGCCCACCGATGGACTTTTTTAAGCATCAAATTTACGTTCCATCGGTTAGTGTACCTAATCCCCTTCCCCCTGGGTTTGATTTGAAGTTGCTGCTGGTACAGGCAAGGGAATAGAATGCGAACGGTCCAATCGTATTCAGCACATGAAATACGCTTTTCAATTATCATAGCCTCCTACGAGGCCTGACTCTGAAGGGTGGCAACTCGTGCGACAAGGCGGTCGTCCACCGTACTGAGTCGGGATACAATGGTTCCGTCTTGATCGACCTCGTCATCAACTGGGTAATTAGAAGAGCCTTGGACGGTTTTGATGATGCCGATTTCGCACCTCGGTGCCGACTTACTGACCTCTACGACACTGACGACATCGTTCTGCTATTTCCAAGTTACATTGCATGGCGTCTCAGGTGAATTTGGTCGTCGAACTAGTTTATTCATGAACTTACTTGTACTTGTACTTGATACGGCTGCGATCATTCCTGATCTAGCCGGCCTCGATGATGTCCCGAATTGTACCTCTCCACGCGTGACGATCCGCGGCAGCAGATCTAGACAGCTCAACCCATTCCCTTCGCCAACGACGGAGACCGAATACCGAAGGTCCAAGAACCACCTCCATGTCTTGACAGACAGTGTCGAGCCAGGTTTTGAACTGACCCCCTCTTCGACGCCTCCAATGGGGCAACGGCGCCGGATCGAGAGCAGTAACACTGAGCTCCTGAGGTGGACGACGAAGAACATGCCCGAACCACCTCAGTCGTCTTTCTTGGATGGCCTGAGTTATCCTCGCGATGTTGTCGCAGCGAGCGCGGACTATCTCATTTGAGACGAAATCGGTTAACTTCACTCGAAGGATGATCCTCAAGCAGCGGTGGTCAAATACCTCCAGTTTTCGCTCATCCGCCACGCGCAAAGCCCAGCATTCACAACCATAGAGAAGGACAGACCGGACAGATGCACGGTACACGCGAATCTTAGTGGCGATGGAGAGGTCACGTTGGTTCCACAGGCATTTCCGAAGGCTTGAAAAAACCCAGCGGGCAGCATCGATTCGGGAGACAATGTCGTCCTTACTCTGTCCATTAGGCAGCAGCCGCGCCCCGAGGTATTTAAAACTGTCCACTTCTTCAAGTTGACAGCCATCAATCCCCAGGGGTGCCTTCTCCTGGTCAGGGATGCAGCTTGAGAATACTTTGGTCTTCCCAGCGTTTATGGACAAACCGACTGATTTAGCGACCTCGTTCACTCGTGACACCATAGACTGCAGATCACCAAAACTTGAAGCCAGTAAGGCGATATCATCGGCATAGTCGAGATCAGTCAGTCGATGTCCGGGTGCAAATTCAACACCGTCACTGTCGCGTAGGGCCCTCCCGAGGATCCAGTCAATAGCGTAGTTGAACAGTATGGGTGACAGGATACAACCCTGTCGGACGCCAGACCGAATACCGAACGGTTGGGAGAAATTGTTACGGACCAGGACTCTCGCAGTAGTGGAATGATAGTAGGCCTTGATCATGGCGATGATTTTGGCCGGTACACAATCTAGCGCCATTATCCGCCACAGGGACTCACGGTGAACGGAATCGAACGCGGCGGCAAAGTCAACGAAGCAGACGGCTGTCGGTTGTTGGTAGCTATGGCGAAATTCGAGAATGCGCCTCAGTGTGAAGATCTGATCTGCGCATCCACGTCCAGCACGAAATCCGGCTTGGTTGGGCCTCGTCCTTGAGTCACGCACAGCCTGGAATCGTCTGAGTAGGACAATAGCGAAGATCTTCGCAGCAACGTCGATAAGACTTATGCCGCGGTAGTTCTCGCACCTCGTCTTATCTCCCTTCTTGAGGATAGGTACAAGGATGCCTAAGCCCCAGTCATCAGGAACAACCTCGTCTCTCCACGCTCGTTCAATCACCTCATGGAGCCAGGGCGCCAGAGTGTCCACACAAGACTTGAAGATTTCAGCAGGTATACCGTCCTCTCCGGGTGCCTTATTGTTGCGCAACTTTCGTATGGCATCGGAGACTTCTTCCTCGGAGGGGGGATCGCATGGCACTGCATAGGTAGGAGAGGGAAGAAACTCCGCTGAGGAGGAGAACAAGGGCGATATAGGTTGGGTATCGAAGTTGAGATGGTGCTCAAAGTGCTCACGCCAGCGCTCGACTTTGGCCGAGTTGTCAGCAATAAAGCCGCCGTTCACATCGCGGACAGAGTCACTCAGTGTAGAGGGCTTACCGCTAACTTGGCGGATCAGACGGTAGAGCTTTCGAGTGTCACCAACGTTCGAGGCCTGTTCCATGGATGTCGCTATTTCAGCCCAATATTGTTTCCGGTCATCCCTGGCCGATTTTGCCGTCATCTTCCGAAGTTGGCGGAAGTAGTCATCGTTGCGGGACCTGGCTCTAGCCGTCTGAGCAGACAACTGCAGGGTTCTTCCGCTGATCCAGTCCGTGCGGCGTCGCTGGGTGTATCCAAGGATTTTCTCAGCTGCCCCATAGACTGATGTCTTCAGTGACGACCACTGGTTACTGACTTCTTTGTCGACTCGGGCCGTAAAACAGGTCCGGATTTCTCTGCTTAGGGCCTCGGCGGTGCTGGCTTGCCGGATTTTTGCGACATTGAGGCGTCTAGGACGTGGCATTTTTGGTGCGGATGAGAGGTGAACTTTCAGGCGTGTACGGACGAGGACACGATCCGACCCATGGGCGTTACCAGTCTCGGCACCACACATCGATCTGCTATCGTGAACCCAGCTGCGGAACCTTGAGCTGACTAGTATGTAGTCAATATGACTGGCCGTACGACCGTCGTTTGAATACCAGGTCAGCAGATGTTTTTTGCGATGCTGGAAGCATGTGTTGGTGACAAGCAGTCGGTTTCGATCAGCGAAGTTCAGCAATCTCTCACCATTTTCACATCGAGAACCAAGCCCAAAGCGGCCAAGAAGATGACTGGTTGTGGGGTCGCCAGGTCCAGTTCGACCATTCCAATCGCCAGCAACAATCAGCAGATCGCGGCGAGGCAGTCTTTCAACTAGCGCTTGCAACTGAGAGTAAAACGCCTCTTTATCGCGCTGTTCGGCAGCCGAAGTTGGTGCGTACACAGCTACGATGGAGATGTTCGTGAAGTGACCCTTCAGTCGCACGTAGGCCATCCGGTCATTTACTGGTTCCCAAGCAAGTAGCGCAAGCTCCGCTTGTTGTGATAAGGCGATCGCCACACCGTATCGACCAGAGGAATCACGGGGGCCGCTGTGGTACAGGGTGAAGTGGGATTCGACTGCCGGGATCTTTATTTCACGAGAGCCCGAGTCAGGGAGTCGTACCTCAGACAGACAGCAGACATCCACGTTGTACTGATGGAGGCTGCGTGCGGTCAGACTTTGGGTACCAGGGTCCAGGGACGTTCGTACATTCCAGCATCCAATACTGAGAGTCCTTCTACGATTGAGTAGTCCAGCTCGCATACTATTCGCCCGCACCACTGGACTAGGGTTGCGGAGCGCGTCGGTTCCCGCGGACGCCGTAGCATGGGTCGTAGTACTGTTATTGGACATTTTGCATGAGGTTTCTTGGGAATTTCTAATACGGGCGGGTCCCCAACAGCCGCTCGGATTGTTTGTTCGAGGTTGTCTCCTCTAGCGCTTTGGCTTAAAAACCTAACCACAAGGCAGCGGTGGCAAGTAAACTTATTTAATGGCGGTTTACGGTCGCCATGTCACAATGCCGTCATTGGGCTTTGCGGCATTTTATAAGGCTTTCAGCGTGCCAGACTTCAGCCCACCACACCCTGGTAGCAATGTCGCTGCTGGTCCGCGACTGCTTATTCGTCAGACCTGGGTCTGCTTATTTCGCAGCTAACCTTCACCGAAGGTCGTCCCACTATCCGCCACCTGTGGACGCGCCGGGTAGCCAGCAGCTAGGCTAACGGGCAACCCGTCTTCCGGGGCAACCCGTCTTCCCGGCAACCCGTCTTCCCGGGCAACCCGTCATCCCGGGCCAAAGTGTTGTCGGTTCGCGTTACCAAGAGGATGCACCCTTCGGCACTGGCTGTCAGCGTGAAGTTGTGAGCGATTCCAAACGCCTCAGATCGGGGTTGCTGCTAAACTGATGGAACAAGGACGATATCATCTCTTGAGCCCATGATGCTCGCGGAGTTTTTACAGTCCTTGAAAGGTGCTTATGAGTCTGACGCCATACTTCTATCGGAATAATGGATTCCTATATGAGATGGAAACAAGGGTGCGGACACAATTATGATTAGTCCGGGACTGATTTACTTGGCCAGACTTTCATACATTCGCCGCGAGATTCCAGACAACCCCCTGACAGTATTTCACGTGACCGGTAGCTGCGGCTCAAGAAAACTACGCCAGCCTTGTACAGGCCGTACTGAAAGTGACGCTTCCCGTCCAACGTGCGGGTTAATTTCATCACTGCGTCCACTCGGATCTTCACCCTCCATTTAACTCCCCCCTAGACTCGAACTCCCTTTCCAAAATATTGAATGAATGTAGGTTCATGCGTACATAGAACTTCGCCAGTTGCATTTCGCCACCACCTCTTTCCTATGACGACCCATTTTTTTAAATCTTAGCCTCTAGTGAGGATTATAGTGCAGACAAGTCTAGTGCGGTTGTACATGGTTGAATGCACTTGGAACAGTAGGAAATGCTTTTGGACGGACGAGGAAATGACCTCACCCACAGGTATCGCCACTGTGGACATCGTCCATCGACTTGTACCTGTACTTGGTACGGCTGCGATCATCCCCGATCTAGCCGGCCTCAATAATGTCTCACGCCGTATCTCTTTATGCGTGATGCTCCGCGGCAGCAGACCTAAATAGTTCAGCCCATTCTTATCGTTAACGACGGAAACCGAATACCGAAGGTCAAAGAACCACCTCCATGTCTTCACGAACTGTGTCGAGTCAGGTTTTGAGTTGACCTCATCGACGCCTCCAATGGGGTAACGGCACCGGATCGAGAGCAGTAACACTGAGCTCCTGAAGTGGACAACGAAGAACATGCCCAAACCACCTCGGTCGTCTTTCTTGGATGGCCTGGGTTATCCTTACGATGTTGTCGCAGCGAGTGTGGGCTGTCTCATTTGAGACAAAGCCGGTGCACTTCACTCAAAGGATGGTCCTCAAGCATCAATGGTAAACTACCTTCAGTTTTCGCTCGTCCTCCACGCGCACAGTCCAGCATTCGCAACCATAGCGATGGACAGACCGGATAGATGCACGGGACACGCGAATCTTAGTGGCGATGGAGAGGCCGCGTTGGATCCATAGGTATTTTCTAAGGCTTGAGAAAATCCGTCGGGCAGCATTATTTCGGGCGATAATGTCGTCCTTACTCTGCCTATTCGGTAGTTGCCTCGCCCCAAGGTATTTAAACGTGTCTTCTTCAAGTTAACAACCATCAATCCTGAGAGCTGCCTTCTGGTCAGGGATGCTGCTTGAAAACACTTTAGTCTTCCCAGAGTTTATGGATAAACCAACCGATTGAGCGACTTCGTTCACCCGTGACAAAATAGACTGCAGATCACCAAACCTTGAAGCAAGTAAGGCAATATCATCGGCGTAATCGAGATCAGTCAGTCGGTGTCCGGGGGCAAATTCTACACCGCCACCTTAGTGTAGGGCCCTTTCGAGAATCCTCATAATAGCTTAGTTGAACAGAATGGGCGATAGCATACAACCCTGTCGAACGCCAGACTGAATACGCAATGGTCGGGAAAGATTGTTGTTGACCAGAACTTTCGCGTGGTGGAGCGATAATAAACCTTGGTCGTGACGATAATTTTTGGCAGTTCGCCATTTAGTGTCATTATCCGCCACAGGGACTCACGATGGACGGAATCGAACGCGGCGACAAAGTGAACAAAGCAGACGGCCGTCGGTTGCTAGTAGCTATGGCGAAACTCGAGACTGCGTCTTAATGCGAATACCTGGCCCGCGCATCCACTTCCAGCTTGGTTGGGTCTCGTTCTAGAGTCACGCGCAGCCTGGAATCGCCTGAGTAGGACAATAGCGAAGATCTTCGCAGCAACGTCAATGAGGCTTATGTCGCAGTAGTTCTCGCATCTTCCCTTATCTCCCTTCTTGAGGATAGGTACTAGGACGCCTCAGCTCCAGTCATCAGGAACAACCTCGTCTCTCCACATTTTTATTACCTCATGGAGCCAGGACGCCAGAGTGTAGACACAAGACTTGTAGATTTCGGCGGGCATACCGTCTTCTCCGGGTGTCTTATTGTTGCGTAGCTTTCGTGTGGCATCGGCGACTTCTCCTTCAGATGCGGGGCCGCATGACACTGTATAGTTTGGAGCGGGAGAGAAAGAGAGAGAGAGAGAGAGAGAGAGAGAGAGAGAGAGAGCAAGGGCGTGGTGGATTGGCTATCAAAGTAGAGATGGCGCTCGATGCGTTAACGCCAGCACTCGACTTTGGCCGAGTTGTCAGCAATAAGGCCGCCATTCACGTCGCGAACAGAGTCACTCAGAGTAGAGAGCTTACTACTAACATGGCGGGTAAGTTGGTAAAGTTTTCGAGCGTCATCAACGTTCGAGGCCTGTTCCATCGTGGTCGCTATTTCAGCCTAACATTGCGTCCGCTCACCTCTGGCGGACTTTGCCGTCATCTTTCGAAGTTGGCCGAAGGAATCATCATTACGGGACCTGGCTCGAGCTCTCCTTGCAGACAACTGCAGGGTTCTTTCGCTGATCCAGTCGCTGCGACGTCGCTAGGTATATCCAAGGATCTTATCAGCTGCCCCATCGACTGACGTTTTAAGAGACGACCTTCTCCGTCGGCTCGGGTTGTAAAAGGGGACCGGATTTCTCTGCTCAGGGCCTCGACAGTGCTAGTTTGCCGGATTTGCGCTACATCGAAGCGTCTAGGACGTGGCATTTTTGGCGGGGATAAGAGGTGAACTTTCAAGCGTGTACGAACGAGGACGTGGTCCGACCCATAGGCGTTACCAGTCTGGACACTACGCATCGATATGCCATTGTGAACCCAGCTGCGGAACCCTGAGCTAATTAGTATGTAGTGAATATGACCGTCTTTTGAACACCAGGTCAGGTGGTGTTTGCTGCGATGCTGGAAGCACGTGTTGGTGACAAGCAGTCGACTCTGATCAACGAAGTTCTGATATCTTCGCCATTTTCACATCGGGAACCAATCCCAAAGCGGCCAAGATGATGATTGTTTGTGAAGTCGCCAGGTCCAGTCCGACCATTCCAATCCCTGGCAAAAATTAGCTGATCGCAGCGAGGGAGTCTTAAACTAACGGCTCCAGTTGCGAGTAAAACGCCTCATTATCGCGCTGTTCGGCAGCTGGAGTTGGTGCGTGCACAGAGACTATAGAGATGCTCGTGAAGTGACCCTTCAGTCGCACGTAGGTCACATGGTCCTTGACTGGTTCCCAAGCAAGTAACACGAGGTCCGCTTGTTGCGAGAGGGCGATCGCCACACCGTGTCTACCAGAAATTAAACCACGTACAAGTCACCGGTTCTGCATCTACTCCGTCGGGGACACGGTGCACGTCGTCGTTTGCGACGGTCGAATTCTCACCGAAACAACGGTTTGCATGTATCGGACATCCGTTCAGTAAGTCCTCCTATGCGGTTGTGGGCGCTGGGCTTGCGTATGGAGGACTGGCCAAAACTGGAGGTTGTGGCTTCTTAATTTCCTCAGAAATTAATCGCCAGCTTCGAGTAGATCAGTCCTTTTGAGTCGTATAGGCTCAGACTGAAACTGAATATGAATATTTGGGCCGAAGTCTCAGCCACAACGGAATAACCGTGTGATATTCATTAGCTGCTTACAGGCAGCCTATAGTATATGCTCGGGCAGCGATTCATTCCTAATGAAATTAAAAAGTCGCAATTTCGAAATTGGAGTGTCTACCAGAGTAGCACACAGGGGACGTAGGCGGATCCACTGATGAACCGAATCTTTCACAGTTGTCACGCAACGGTAGAATATCGGTGAAACGTGTCTGGGCTTCTAGCCAATAACCGTGCTGTCAGGTATGGTATGACGTGCTGCCTAAAACTGAAGGCGTTTGACAACGATTACCTTGGAAGATCTATTCTTCACCTGATGTGTGCCGACCTCATCTAGAATGGAAGTCCGAACTTGCCACGACATCATCTTGAGGATATCTCAGGTCATGCAAGATGGACGACTCAGGTGATTTGGACGCGTTCATCCTCATCCACCTCATGATCTTAATGTTGCTACGTTCGATCCGGTGCTGTTACCCACTTGGAGGCGTCGAAGGGGGGGAGGGTCAAACCAGAGCCTCGCTCGGCACGGTCCGTGAAGACATAAGGGTGGTTGTTCGACCTCTGTTCCATCTCCTTTGCTGAAGCAGAGAATGGGTCGGGCTCTTCAGACCTGATGCCGCAGATCGTCAGACGTGAAAAGGTTCAGTTGGCGACATCGAGGCCAACTACAACAGGGATGGTCAAAGCCGTACAAAATGCAAGTGCTTTTTAACGTGTTCTCTGCGGCGCTCTGACTTATTGAATCCGATACTCCCCCTGTCGCAATCTTGTGTGTGTCAGGAGAACGTATATTATCTAGACCTGTCGTCTTGTATTTGTCACTTCATCAAACCCCGATTAATTAGGCAGATACAGCGAAATCCGGTCTCTTAATCCGCAAATTTATTCGCATACCCTCTGGACAGTGTTAGACTTCACCTTATGCGACGGAGTCAAACCGCCAGCTCTCCGAATTCGCCTTTGGGCTCCTGCCGGCTGCGTCGATTATTCATATTTTATCTGTTTTGACCTAGATTGAGCCTGTATTCTACAGTACTCTGCCCAAGAAGCATATTGACTAAAATTGCATCGTATCGTGTCGGACCTCTCAGTTAACATCCGTCAATTCCTCCGTGCTTAAGGTGTTTGCATCGCACTTCCAGGAAACACTTGCTCAGATGGTAAAGGGTCCACTTTGAAAACCAGGAAAAACGGAAGCTCGATTAATTTGCGCTGCTGACGGGGAAGTGGCCAGGTTTTACTGTAATTAGGGACTGCGGTGTGTGTAACTTCGAACGATAAAATGTTCTTTTCGGTTATCCTGCGTGTCATAACTGTTTAGGCCTTTTCCTAACCTTCAGTGAAGCCAGTTACAGAGAACATTCCTATCTCCCTTTAGCTCAAGCACCAAAAGCTTGACATTTATCCCCGGTCTTTCAGTCCTTCGTTTTTAAAATGCAGTCAGTGAGCGGTTACACGCTCACGGAACTCCTGGGGAAAGGCACCTACGGTGAGGTATTTAAGGCTATTGATCGAGTAAGTTGCATCATTTTTATGAATATCCACGATAGCAAACGCGAAACACGGCAGCCGTGAAACGAATATCCAAGAAGACCCTCTGTGCTCGTGCTGTTGACAATCTGATAGAAGAAATTAGAATACTGAAGGAACTGCGGCATCGAAATATCACTCAACTCATTGATTTTACTGTACCCTTCTCTTTCCTTGTCTAACATCTGCCTCTTTAGTGGGACTCAAACTATGTATATATGTTTATGGAATATCTGTCAGGGGGTGATCTTAGTCACTTTCTTAGGTCACAAAAACGCTTGCCCGAGCGCGTTATTCGGTACTTTCTCCAGCAACTTGGTAAGTTACCCATTGCCTTGTGCTCACTTGGCCTTTTAGCATTTGCGCTTCATTACCTCTTTCATAAGAATATCGTCCACATGGATATTAAGCCGCAAAACATCCTCCTCACCTCTTCCACCCCTCCTACCCTCAAGATCACAGGTTAGTCGCCGGAGCCATCTTATATTTTCTCGCTTGTATCCTGGGGTTGGGAGACCTGTTTCTTACCAGTTTGCCGTCTCCAAGTCTTGTTTGAAGCCGTGATGCGTACCCTCCCTCCGGATGTTATCCAAGGAACCTCCACGGCGGTTGCGCTTAGCTCTCTGATTAAATCATCACACCGAACAGCCATATTGTTAGTCAAGTTAGTACAGCGACTAACAAACGGACGGAACTATGTACGCCAAAAGTGCTCGCGTTTGTCCCCTCTTAGTTCAGCCTAACTTTAATAATAGAAAATTAGGCGAACTTACCACCTTAGCTTCACTTTTAGTTATCCGGTGTTGTCTGCCTCTCAGACCCAACTTGCTCATCAAATTACCAGACAGGCGAGTTGTACTTGGTGGGCTCAACCGTCAAGCATGTTCTACTCCACAGCCCAAAGACATGTTTTTCTCTTGCTCATTAGTGGATCCTGACTTTTCTACGCCCTTTCGTATAATTCGACTTCCAAAACACTAGATTCGAATTGCTCTGGTCATGTGTTTAATTGTTTTTTGTCTTCCCTTCAAAGTCGACTATCTCCCACTCTGCGCATATACTTCTTATTCAGAGCAGACCAGCGAAGTTTATTCCGAAAATTTGTAAAATGAAAGTTTGATGTCATCCCATAAATCCCTTAGAAAGGGCTGTAGGCTCTTTCGTGAACAAGAACTTTCAGGTTACCGCAAATGCCTACAAAGCCTCGAAGAGGAACTGGTTTGATTTTCTTATTATTCTCTTTTCTGGGGGGCTGTAACAAAGAACATTTCTGCAAACTAAATTATTTAAATATGTTGTTTGAACCGTGTATATTCCCCCTTCAAATGCCTTAACCCCAGCCATCAGGGACCACCACATCGCTCGCTTTCTCAATCACCTCATGGAGCCAGGGCGCCAGAGTGCCGACATAAGACTTGCAAATTCCAACGGGAACATTGTCCTCTCCGGACGCCTTGTTGTTGTTGTTGTTGTTCTCTCTCAGAGTGACAGTCGCGTGACGCTTCATAGGTCGGAAAAGATAATACTGCTGCAGAGGAGACCGAAGGTGCAATGGGTTGGTCGCCAAAGTTGAAAAGGCGCTCGAAACGACCACACCATCAATCGACCCTGACCGAGTTGTCAGCAATAAAACCGCCACCCACACCGCGAACAGAACCGCACAATATCAAGGGCTTGCCACTAACTTGACGGGTAATTTGGTAGAGTTTTCAAGTGTCACCAACGTTTGTGACCTGTTCTATGGAAGTCGATATTTCTGCCGGCCATCCCTAGCCGACTTTGCTGTCATTTTATGCAGTTGTCAGAAGAAAGCGTTGTTTCACTACCTGACTCGAGCCGTCCGGACAGACAGCTGCAGGGTTCCTTCGCTGATCCAGTCACTGCGGCGTCACTGGGTGAGTCCGGGAATTTTCTCATCTGCTTCATAGACTGACAACTTCAGGGATGACCATTGGCCACTACCTCCTCCGTCCGCTCGGGTCGTGAAGGGGGAGCGGATTTCTCGTCCATGATAATCTCTCCCAACCGTTCGATATCAGGTCTGATATTCGACAGCGTTGCATCCATTCTCTTCAACTACGCCATTGACTGGATTCTCGAAAGGGCCCTACGCAATTTTGATGGGGTGGAGTTTGCAGCCGGACGCCGGCTGACGGATCTAGACTACTCTGACGATATCGCCTCGCCAGCTTCAAGTTTTGGTGATCTACAGTCTGTAGTGTTGCAGGTGAATGAAGTCGTTTCTGTTACACCCACAGGACAACTACTTCGTCGTCTATGAGAGATAAACCCACAGCGTGGGGAACTAGAGGTTCTGGTTGTCCAAATCAACCGCTGTTGAATTTAGTATCAAAAGGACTTCCTGGGTCATCAAAGCGACCTCCAGTACTTGTTGTTAAATGTGCTCGTCTGAAGTAAATACCTTTTCAAATTTAGACAATTGGGAAGGATCACAAAAGGCAATCAACGTAGTTTTAAAATGAATAGTTATATTGCCTTTGATGTTTGCATTGCACTCGCACATTTATTCACCGCATGGGTCTATTAGGCCACATGCGTGTCCACAAAAACCTGCAGTAGCCAACCGCCGACTGCACCACACTATCACATCCTCCATTACCATCATCTCACTGCACATCAACATTACCCACCATTAGCACCTTACTGCCACCTCCCACGCAAGTGGGAGGTGTGCGTCTCGGCTCCTTTACCATGCGACCCCCTTGCTGCATGTGTGATTGGAATCTGAGACGAAGACAGTGCGTCGGGCGCCGTGGCTCGGAAGTCAGCCGACTAACGCCCCAACTTAGTCAACACGGTCTACCCAGTTGTGCGTGTATGTGTGGAGTGGCGGACCGGTGGGCTGAAAGACAGGCTGCCACGGCCCCTTCTCAAACCATGTATGACACGCATACATGTGAGGAGAGTTTTTGTTTGTGTGTGTGCGTTATGGGTAGTGCTTCACAGTGGACGACTGGTTGGTTACCTAACGGTAAAGGGTTACGGTCCAGGCTAAACTCAGAGCCACGTGTCGCTCTTCAAAGTCAAAAGGTCTGAAAGCTCATGCTATGCTAGTATCAGAAAACCATGGCCCTCGCAGCCTGGGATGCGCTGGTAATTCTTTGGCACTTGGTTCCTTGCCGATAGATGCGCCTGCGCTCCCGTTGGGTATACAGGTGGTGGGCATGGCTGCCCAGTCATCACCCTCGTCCTTCTGTTGGGGTGTTGTTGTTGTTGTTGTTGATCATAAAGCCGGTTCCTTTGCCGTATGGACCAAGGGGGCGTGGAGCGGAACGCCAAAGTGCAGACTCGGCTATACCATCCACCTGCGCCCTCCCTCGCCTGTGGTCTTCTTGACTCTGTCGTAACACGGGATCCAGGTGGGGAGTGGGGAAGAGACAGTGCGCTGGGTGCTGTGGAAGTGCACTGCCACTATAAACTAATTCACGCGCAAGTCACCGTGCCTGCTGCACCTTGCTGTGTAGCACACGGTGGACATAGTCGAAATGGACGATCGAACTTTTGGTGCTGCTGTTGGACGAGCAATAATAGCTAGCGGGACATTGAGCACGTGGGCCAATCCTAAGATTGGAGATAGAGTAAATGACGAATTAAAGCGATAATTCTGAACAGCATGCATGAATCCAAGTGTTGCAGCTGCCGAATCGGACGCTCCACCAGTTATGGCCCCACGTCTGAATCGCAAACGCTGCGGAAGCGAGCGGGCCAGTGTAGTGCATTTGTTGTTGCACTAGCCCCGTCGGCTAAGATCGCATAGCTTCTCAGGTGGGAAATTTGTGAGCACTGTCCCTCTTGCATAGTCTCCAAACTACCGTTGTCGTTTCGGTCTTTAGCAAGGCCACTGTAAGCCCTGAATGGGCGCGGACAATAGAGACACGTAGATAGAGACCCTCAGTTATTGGAGTCGTTTATCGGAACTCCAAATTCGCTCTCATGCCGTTTCTCCGATTTGAGAAAGAAGTCAAGTAAATTGGCGGTAACATGCATTTTACGCTTGGATTTCGTCATCTAAGATAACAGTAGACGACACCACCCGACTGTAACCGCAGAGATTCTCAGTTACTCCTCCCTGGATCATGTGAAACGTGGTGCGATGCCGTCATCTTTAGCACTTTGGTTTCTCTAGCCATTACGCCCGGCATTCTCGATCTTCTCGTAATAAGTGCTGCTGTGACGGAATGCCTGGTACTCCTTACACAGTTGCAGACTCCTTCGATTTCGGCACTTACTTGTAAGCAGAACTCACATATTCCTATTGGGTAAACAATGTAAACGTATGATTCTTACCTTCATTTTCGCGTGCCAGATACCTCGTCTTTCATTCGCTTACAGAACCTCGTACCCATACCTCTATTCAGCATTTTTCGACTCATTCCAGTTCTGCAAAGTAAACTTATACTTCGTCAAAGGAAAAGGCCGCCACGAAGGATCATAATGGAACTCTGAAGTCCTTAGCGTTCAGTAGGGACCTTCTCATTTATGCACCATTATCATGAACACTGGTTCAGCGCAAGAATCAAACAGCCAAAGCCCGGAATATTGGAGTTTTGCATTGTTGTTTTAGTGCTTTGCGCCACCGTAAGATGTTAGCATATTCGACCAAAGACCGTACCACTTATCGAGCTGAACTGAAGACCTCTCCTGAACAAATCACACGTTGACGACTTTAAGGGATTAGTAATTAATTCGTTGAGTTCTTGGTGAATTCTATGCACTGATGGTTTTTTAACGATGCACCGTTTGGTTATGTGAGTAGTAAATTCACCAGGACCAACTTTGAGGATCGCTCAGTCAGTACCCCCATCTCCAAAGTGATGTCGTCTGGGGGCCCTTCTTTGAGTGGAGTTTGCTAACCTAGACCTAAGCATAGCAGTCAGAATTCGTTCCGTCAGTATTGCTAGGCCTTCCAAAACTGACGGTTGGATCGACTTGAACAGTTTTCCATCCCAATCACAGCTGAGAGCTCCTTGGCCGTGATAAGCGTAAAGCCCTTCTCGACACCTCCCTCGTTAACTTGAGAGGGGACTCGTTAACTGGATAGACACTCACTGCCTTGAGGTGGTCGACTCGTCCCAAACAATCGTCAACCACGCCGTCTTAACTCACTTGTGTGAAGATAGGATTGTCTGAAACATACTCCTTCTCAGACCGTGCCCTGCCTAACCGCGTTTTCAAGGTTGTCAGTGACAAACGGGTGGATGCTGTGAAAGTGGACCTCTAGTGCATCTCTAGCCTGAGCGACTACATTTCACACTGGGGTTTGCTGCCGTCCGCTACGACGTAGGGAGGTCGTTTGAGTCATGACTGCTTTGCAGTATAGACCTAGCTGGATGAGCCATTATGTCACCCGTCAAAAACTCATGACGTACAAACACAATCGCTAACGGGGTGGGGTGGATACCACTCCTTTGATAGAACTCCCGAGGCCAATTTTGTTACTACCGGAACTTCTGGAACATTTCGCTCTTCCTCGATCGACTACACAATCCTCTTCCCACCTCTGTCAACATGTGGTGGCAGGCTGAGTAACGGACAGAATAGCAGCCTGAGGCATCTAGTTGGTGAGGATTCTGTCTAAACGACTTCCGAACGCAATCACTAAGACAATGCCTTACCATATTAGAAATAGTAATTGGTCATTCCTGGTGAACTGGACTAAACGAACGTCTGGTGGCTTCTCCAACCGCCCGGGACCCGCATTCATTTAAGGAGGGTGCGTTTAGTAGTCTACTTCGGGTAGGCCTAGTTAAAATTTGCATAGTTTGGTTTAAGGGTCTCGGCTTCTCTGGGACATTAGTACGCGTTTTGTCTTACGTTTGGTTTACTTTTTACCTGCCTCTACGCTTGATGTTCGAAGCGTTTGACATGCATCCCCGAATAATTAAATGCAAAGCGAACCCCTTATAATTTGCCTGCCTGTAAACCGTAATCTCTATGTTCTCTGTTTACTTAATATTATTGCCCATGCTTCACGTCTTTAGATTTTGGATTTGCCCAATCCCTGAAGGCTACAGTAACAATGGGAGAAATTCGTGGTTCCCTACTCTACATGGCTCCCGAAATTTACTGCTATGGGATCTATGATAAATCCTGCGATCTCTGGTCGGTCGGTGTGATTCTCTTCGGTAAATGGGGCATCCAATTACCACTTTTGTTCAGATTCGCATCCATTTTTCTTCTGCTCATTTTCCGACTTTAAGAAATCATTCGATACAAATTAAGCTGAACAGGCATTAGGAGTAATCCCCTGAGGTGGATTCAAAGCTTCTTGATCGGTTGCTCTCAAATTGTCCGCGTCGTTGACAGACAGTCGACGCAGGTAGCGGTTGAAAGCGGTGCTCCTCAAGACTCCGTCTTTGGCCCTACCCTGTTCATTATATACGTTAATGATTGCGTCAGTGGACTGAATTATGATGTCGCCATGTTCGCTGATGATGTTAGGCTTTGGAGCGCTATCCGAACTGAATTTGACGAAGAGCGCTTGCAGGCAAACCTGAGCCGACTCGAGAAATGGTCGCAGGGCTGGCTTTTGCCGCTTAATGTGACTAACTGTAACACTCTGCTAATCGGTTGAACCTGATCTCCGAGCCGTAGGGTTTACGGCCTAAATGGTGCACCATTGCAGGCGGTAAACGCCCAGAAGGACTTGGGTGTGTGGGTCACGGCTTAACTGAAACCGTTGCTCCACTGCTCCAAGGTAACCAAGTTCGCGATGTCAGCCCTTTCTACCGTCGATGAGGACTGCTTCACTGAAATCTTTCGGACGTTCGTGCGACCACGGTTAGAGTTCGCTAGTCAATCGTGGAAACCCTGGACCGCTAAAAACCTCAGCATCCTTGAGAAAGTTTAAAGGCGGGCAACCAAACTCGTTAGTGGACAGGGTTCACCACCCTACGAAAAACAGTTATCCAATCTCGGCCTTTCTCCTCTGAGTTAAGATGCGATGTGATGCAGACACTGCGTATCATGCGCGGTCAGGACTGCTGTCTTTTACCTAGAGACTTCTTTAGGTTAGCAACTACAACGAACCTCCGAGGTCATCCACTCAAACTACGTTTTACTGCCGCCAGGCTGGACACACGGAAGTTCCTCTTTTCCAACAGTTTTTGAGGCTTGGAATGCTCTGCCTGCAGTTATCGTCATGTCCACATCCCTCGAGGCTTTTAAGCACAACCTATTTCAGTATACCACCACACATCGTAATGCCGCCAGACTGATATTGTCTTACAGTTCCGTTCTAGTAGTTTATTATTGTTATAATGTTACTGTCTGTGTTTCAGTAACGTCTGTTTTTACCTACTTATTGTCTCAAATCCATTGAATGCGAATGTTGACATTCACTTCGTGTCCCTCAGATAACTTGGATCGTATCAATTTTCTACAGCACAATTATACATGGACTGACTGCTGTACAGTGTATTTAGTAGTGTTAATGTTTTTAACACCTGGAGTAATTCGCTTATCTGTGCGGTTTCGAAAAAAATTTCTGCAACTGTTTGATGTTTCTATTTCCAAATACGGAGCTCAAAGGTTCAACACCCTCGAATAAACTGAACTGAACCCTCCTGTTATGATCTCGACTTATGGTGTGTTTTGGTCTGAATAGATACCTAGGGTCGCCACAGTCTCCTTTCAAACTCGGACCTCTACCGCATTGATTGGTGGACTTGATCCATGTCCATCCTAAACTATCGGGTTGGTCTTCAGAAGAGAAGTCTGGTTGGCTAATAAACTGTACTTCGACGTTTGTACTATGCCCTATTTTAGTTTGTGATTGCGACGGCTCACCTTCACGGACCGACAATCGCAGGAATTTGAAGGTTTTTGACAAAATGTCTCTACACCGTATTCCCCGCTTGGATCTCTTGGATAGGACTACATTAACAATAGTTTAAGAGCGCCTTACTGATTTTACCATGCCCTGCGCCTAGTTTCCTTTCGTGTCGAAATCGCCTCATACTCCTGTTAGGACAACGCCATCACCAAAGCGGCTGTTCGGACTGCGACCACAGGACATGGCACGCGAGTTCTTACTCTTTGGAACATTAACTGCCGGCGCAAGTGTGGCTGCTGCTGTGATACGGGCCACTCACGGGCTGCTCCAAGTATCTTTAATCGGATTTGATGCCAACTTCTAGCACACTCGTGGTACTTGTTACCGCCTAACAGGCCAGTGCTGTTTTCCATTTTCTAGAATGCCTGTTTGGCCATGCCCCCTTTGCTTCTGCGTCTGTCGACGAGCTAAAGGCCAAACTAACCGACAAGTCGCCAGTAAAGGTAAGCCGGTGCTACTATAGCGTAATTCCGATCTTCGATTTGTGTTCCTACTTCAACATCCCTGTCAAAATGTTGCTCCGAGAGTCTTACACTAAAGTGGTGCACAGTGAAGAAGCGGCGTCATTATATCTTCTCCGACATGGCCCCATAGTAGAGATATAATCTTGCCGCTAGTACAACAGTCCGGTGGTGTTCACAAACAAGGTCTGTAGGCAATGTGCACCGGTATCGGGGTGCAGAAGAGACGGTTACCAGTCTGCTCTGTGCAATTTTAGAGCTAGGTTGTCTCGGTAGAAACCGAATGCCACTGGAAGAAGTGCCAAAGCTTACTGGTAGATCCCCAAGTACCGTGTTTAACTGGCTCAGTTACAGCCAGGATGTCTGTTCCGAAAGGGCATCAGTTGCTAGAAGAGGTAAGCTGAATGGAACACCGAAAAGTCCAATGCAAATTGATGGGCTTGCTTAGCCTGGAAAAAACTCGCCCTTCTCCGTGTTTTAGGAGGGAGGCTGTGGGAAACAACAGTTGGTGTTGGACACTTTTATACGCTCCTTTTCCTCTTCTTCTACTTCGTCATCGTCGTCTTCTTTTTCTCCTTCTTCACCATCATTTTCTCCTTTAATTCCTTCTCCTCGTCGTGCTGCTAATTACTCAGCATACCAAAACATACCTTTAAACGCACCCCTTTAAAGTTGATTCAGGGGTAGGACTTGTTCATCTGGCTCAAAGAACGGGCCTTAATCTCTGAGGTGACTTCTTGAGCCCCCGTTTCCAGTCTTAATTTAAGCAAACTCTTCTACACAAGCCCGTTCGACCGAGTTGCTTTTGTTTGTACTGCTTCTTTGTTTTCTGTCCCCTTCATTAGTGTTCTTGGAGAACTTGCTTTTGACACGATATGCAGATTTTCAGAAGAATTCCTAATCGTTACTTCCATCCAGTTACTGCACTCAGGACGTAGTCTGCAGACGTTTATCTACGGCGACTTTCCTGGAGTTGAGTATCGGAGCACTGCTTCTGATTCTTATATAATAACGAGGGCAAGATAAGGGCGAGAAGGACGTCAACATTTCCGTTATTATTGTCTATACTATGCAATAATAACTTACTTCCTCAAAACTTTCTCTCCATCCCACGTGAAATCCTACCTCTCAGTTCCGCAGTATAAAATGAACACTTCGGATTGCTTGCACGCTGAAGTATCTGTTTGTACGACAAATGACGAAACGGTTGCCCTAGTCAAAATTTGTCAGTGTACTTTTGGAGTAACAGCTAGCCTTATCGGAAGGAGTTGGGACGTTACACTTCGACTGCAAGATGATGTTTCGCCTACCTCCAAAAAGAGGCTTATTAGTCTGCCAACTGCAACTTTCAGAATCAAAATCTCAGCGCTGAAGCAGCCGGTCACCAGTCTGATTAACCTATTGAGTTAAATAGCTCTGTCCTCTGGCGTTAGGGATCGCGAACAAGTGGTCACCTCCCGAAATGGACATTGAATATGCCTGATACAGTTTTCCTCTACGTTTCCTGTCTGTTTCGGTCCATCTCTGTTATACCTTACTTGTTCGCTTTGTTACCTGGTAGATGGCCGCCTGCTTGCTAACTCCCCCAACCGCAGATGCAGCTTGTTTGTTCTGGGATGCCGGCCAGCTCGGTTTGCGCCAACTTCAATGAGAGCAGGTACAGTAGATGTGCTAACCCATGAAGTGTCATGAGTTAGCGAAAGAAAATCCCTGTAGCGCAAAATCTGTCCAAACTGCGTACCCCAAAGTCTTACGGCAGTAAAAAACGACTGTTTTTAAAAAGAGGACATAGTTGGGTTTTTAAGTTAATATTTACTAACGGGAAATTAGTTAGTTTTCACTAAAAACTGGAATTTCAGAAATTGCCTATATTAAAAGTCGCTTAAATAGGGCTAACTATAAAGGTGCATGATGAAGGGGGACGCATGAAATGGGGAAAATGGCGAAAGATAATAACAAACAGAAAGAGATCAGTACTTTGTTGACTGTCCATTTGCATTTATCACTGCAGAAAGCCTCTCAGACATGGACGTGACCAGGTTATCCATAATGAATTGTTTACTGTGATTGTCTGGCACAAAATCAAGTTTTTTATTGCATCGACAGTTTCCTGCTCGCCTTGTGCCACTGTCTTTTGATAAGTGCGAAAAGATTTTCGATAGGATTGAAATCCGAGCTATTCGCAGGGATAAAAATTGATTGGAGGCCACATGCGGAGAGGCTGACTGTTGTTTAAAAAGTCAAATTACGGTTGAAAGCGTTATTAGCTTCATACTTCTTTAGAGCGATGGACAGGAACATTGTCGTGTACAATTATCGTATCTAATCGGCGTCGGTGGATGTCGTAATCGAAAACATCTTTCGCAATGCTGATGATGGCGTCCGTAGTCGACCGCCAGACTGGCCGCTCTCCGAATTTAATTACCATTTAAATCATTAACCGTCGACAACTCTTGAAGGTTGCCATCGGCGCAGTGTTCTCTTCTGGAAAGTTCTTTCCGCACACGTTCATTTGGGTCGACTTCATTGGCTTGTCTAAAAATAAGACCCATCTCAGAAGTGAATGCTCTCCCAGAATGAGGGCCGGTAATCAATATATTTCCTACCAGATAAAAAACGTTCTCTTATAAGTTTTCTACCTAAAAACGACCTGGTCATGGTCTTTTGTTGATGAAGTTCAAATTCCTACACCTTTTTCGTTATTATGTTCATAGGGAACATCGGCAGATGTTCCCTATGAATGGTCTTAATGGGCATATACTGATACCTTTTTAGTGTACGACGAATAAAATCGTCGTCTTGCTTACTTGTGGACCGTTTCGGTCCACCTTGCCTGTTTGTGGGTGGCTCTGTCATAAGTATTCGCCACAGAGTGACCTTACTAATACTAAAAATACTTGCTAACGGCTCACGCGACAACCCTTCTGCTGCTAATTTCCGTATCCTTTCGTAGTCGACTGCTGAAAGACATTGTCCGGACATCTTTATCGCACGGCGGCACACAGAAAAGTGGCAGCATGTCGCGCGTACTTAATATATATCTGTGTTCGCCTAGCACTTTCTCAAACCCGCCTTCGCCTGATTTCCATGCAAGCAAAAACGAATTTTTCATTTACAGACAGGATTTATTCCGTACTTTTCCTTTTTATATCAATCTCCGTTTACAGTATAATGCATATTGACATGAAGCTTTCTGCAAATTTCAATAGCGTATAAAATTATCTAGATATCAAGGAATGTCAGATTTCGCCCAGATCTGGCCTGTTTTCTCTTAATATAACCGATCTTAAATGAATCCCTCTTCAGTAAATGGTTTCTTGTGCCTCAAGTCATTTCAATAAATACAAATAACAGCAATTCCATGACATACTTCTCGCTCAAATTTCGATCACGACATTTCATGAGTTAGACCACCTACTGTACATGGTGCACCCTGACAAAGAACACCTCATGGGGCGAGACGTGTTTAAACACCTGTCTTAAGGTGCTGGCGACCCACTTTTCTTGGTCTCGCCTGTGTGTTGCGAGTTTATGCTCTTCATTTTGGCGTCCACTCACTACTGCAGGCCGGTATTGTGACTGAATAGGACATTGAATAAATCTAAAACAGCCGTCGTCGTAGTCCACACAGTCCTCGTCGGTCTGCATCGAGTATTGAAAGCTCACTATTAGCACCACACAGAACTCTGTACTTGATTTTCCTTGACGAATCACGCCTGTCATCTGTTCTAGGCACTTGTACTTCTAAATCGGCACGTCCTAAGTGGCCGGAAAAATAATCTACCATCTCTTGCGCCTATCGTCCTTGCGTACCGAGCGATAGATTTGGTTCTTTAATGTTGGATCTGTTTATCTACCGTGGTCTATTTAATAAAACACAGTATGATGGTTTTTGGCGTCTCTGCAAATACATAGCGCCTCCCTCCAACTTTTCTTTGCCTTCTTCATCATCCTATCACTACTTTATTTTTCCAGTCTATGACGAGTTTGTGCATGGCTCTGGTATCCAATGTGTCCCACATTTTACGTCCAATGGTTCTCTGCCTGGTTTTCGCCTAGTTTAGTGGTGCCGAACTAACTGAACTTGCTGTCAGTAAATCATCCACATACGTATCTCAATGGCTTTGCTGTGGTCTTTCGGGTATTGTAGTATTCCTCGCCTCTACAGGCTGGGACAAGTCATTTAGGGCGTACCCATACGATTCCCGTTTTACTTTGTGCAAGCTTTTTACCTCCAGGGATCTCATTTCCCGTTTTACTGAATTCTCCTCCTCGAGATTCTTGGCCTCTCCCTTTTCCTACTGTAGGTGCGCCAACTCGTGAAATGACATTTAGAAATGAGTTTTCGTTTCGAACAGATTAGTCAAGTAGGGCTTTAAAACTAATCATCATGCAGCATAATTCTATGATAATTCAGTTACCTCGGGATGCCGGCTTTCAAAAAACTTCTATCCGACTGCATGCAAAAACTATACTCTGTAAAAAATGACTACATATGTAGCATGCATTTTTCTCATTGATTTTCGATGCCCTTAAAAATGCAATTATATTTCGTGGAAAGGATACATAAAAATATTCATTCTTTTGCTCATTCAGTAGAAAATTACGTCTTCTTCCAATTTTATACTCGAAGGAAAGGTATAATTCGGTTTCAAAAAACTTTCCAATTGTGAGATTTTTTAATACCGTGAAATGGCCGTTCATAAAACGTCATTTCTATGCATTTATCAATGTGGCTTGTAAAGTTAGCAACATGCCTCAAATCCACGGCTAGATTTTATGAACCCCTTATGGTCTCCTCTTAATAGCGTAGAGAAATGCATGGTTTTCCGTACGCGGAAAATATACGGCTTGTAGTTTGGCAACCCTGGATGCAAGTTTAACGGCAGGTCGGGTTCGAAGTTATTCGGGGGATGTAAACGTTTTTGAAAACTGAATTATACCCTTCATTAGAGTATACAATTGAAAGAAGATGGTATTTTCTACCGAATGAGTAAAATAATAAATTTTTATTCACGTTTTTCATGAAATATAAGTGCTTTTTTAAGGGCATCGAAAATCAATGAGAAAATGCATGCTACATAAGCAGTCATCTGTTTGTAGAGTATAGGTTTTGCATGCAACCGGAAAGAAGTTTGTTCGAAAGCCGGCATCCTGAGGCAACTGAATTATCATAGAATTATGCTGCGCGATGTTTAGTTTTACGACCCTATTTAATTAATCTTTTCGAAACAAAAACGCATTTCGGAATTTCGGTTGTCATTTCATGAGTTAGCCCACCTACCGTAACATCCCATCTCGTGGTAAGTAATCAGTGCGCGTACAGAGTTATATAACTAAGCCAGCGCCTCAATGTCACAACCCCCTGAGATACCATAGCTTTTAACTACAGGATCCTCCGACAGGGTTTTTGGTCATCGGTTAGGCGTGTCAGGTCTTCCTCGGGGAGTCGAATTTGCCCATTTCTAGGCAGTGCCCCGGTCTCACGTATTATGTAATTTAATATTTGCTAGCTACCCTCAACGGGTAGGTATGTCATTTGCGTACGAATTCGATATCTGGCATGTTTTATCTCGGCTAGAATAGGCCGCAAATTGCCATGTGTGCGTGTTACGGGCCTAAAAAACGGCCTGTGCCACCGTTGAGTTGGCTTTATCTTGGGTTCTGGGGGTGGTAAACCATTATGTGGAGCCTCAGACGGTGGTTTAATACATCTTAGATGTCTGCCTTCAATCTGCCTTCAAATCATTTTGCCCAAGCCCATCACCAGCTGGCTGACAGGCCCAGGCAGTGGAGGGGAAGAGAGAGCGTGGCCAACACGGGAAAGTCCATCCTCGCGGCTAATGCGCACATTCCTCCTCACTGTAATAAACTTGACGCGCTTAAATCTATCACAACGTGCTAAACTGACGCGGCTTGGTAGGTTGCCAACCTTGCATGGGAAAACATGATCCTTCTCAGGACTGAGGGCCAAGTTGTAAGGTCACCATCTTAATATGGCCTTCATCTCCTAAGTTGGGCCTCTCTTCAGCAATTACCAAAACTCCAAAGTAGTGGTTGAGGAAGACCGTTTTTAGTTCGCATAATTTAGTTTATGGACTCCATTCCCCTCTTCCTGCCAGATCCCCCTTTCCCCGCCAATCAGTGAAGACTGTCGAAACCTCCTCTCTCGCCTACTGAAGCGCGATCCAGGCCAACGTATCCATCACGAGGAATTCTTTAATCATCCCTTCATAGACCTTTCCTATGCGCCTTGTCCTGAGAGCCTTCTAAAGGCCGTAAGTCAGCATTCGGCCCATTAACACACAAAAATTGAAACTCTTAGCCTCCCGTCTGATCGCTTTTTTTTAAAAAAAAAACAGGTTGATTATCTGGAAAAAGCATCCGAATTGGAAGCCTCCAACAACCTCGTCGATGCCTACCTGAATTATAAGGAGGGCCTTCTTCATCTCGCATCCGCTGTACAGTGTAAGTTGTCCGCATATCTTGACCCAGTAGCCTCAGCCTCTTTCCCTTTGGACAACAGAGCTTGCCAGTTTCTAGTAGATCAGTAAAATTATCTTGAAAAAGTAGAGGGCTCGTCCGGATTGAGGCATTCGCCCACAAACTGTCAAGTCGGTCGTGCGAAAAACGAGAGACGTAGCAACAGAATCGAATATGAGTGTCCCAGGCTTCTGTTACAGCATAGTTAAAGCAGTTGGCCACCAGAACAATCGTTATGTTAGTTTGAGCCTTCAGACCCGCTCGAGGACTCGTCATCAGAAACAATGTGGGAACGGCAACAAACGTGCAGCCTTTCAAGGGCCGCATGCGCTCATGGCTGGGGATCGGGTCGCACTATCTGTGACTTGTCGCTTTATTCGCCAAACAGCATTTCTAATCCATAACGAAACACTATAAACAACTGAAGCCAGCACTAAGCTTTGATACATCTTTTTGGTCTTTTTGTTTTTAAGAGTGCTTGTAGAGCCAGCACAATGTTCTGCGCTTTCGCCACATATTTCGATAGTTTCACTGCATAACTCTGCACCGCTGTCTTTTATTCTTGGCGGTGCCCTGTCTTCCTTATGCCAACTAGCTTCTTTTCTTTCCGTGCGTACTGGATTAGCTAACGACTCTACCGCACTTGACACTGTTTGTCTCCCCCAAGTATTTACACTCTTTTTCTTCAGTTGAAGGAGATTTCAGCCGAAAACAGGTCCTTCGGGAACAGGTGAGTTACATGTGCGATCTGCTCGGCTTGTTAGTTCTTATGCTCAACTTCGTAGCATGTCAAGTACGCTCATGTTCACGCTCTATTCATGCACGCATGCACTTTACGCTATCGGTCGTTTGGTGGAGATGTTGCTTGGTGACAGTCGTGGGGGGCTGTTGGTTATTTTGGAAAACCAACTTTAAACAACTCCCAAGGGTGTTTGAACCACAAAATGTCCCCATTTATGCCTACCTGTCTTTCCTACACTTTCCTGTTTATGTTTGCAAGACCGAATGCCTGGAACTGTAGAACGGGCTTTGTAGCGCTGTCACGCAGTTAGTATTGTTCCGAAGTCCAGTTCCAATACACTGAAAAAAAGATCCGAGCATTAGCTGGCACGATGCTCACCTAAAAACCATTTATGAATCATTCTACAGACTAGGTCCGTTGTTTTATACCCTTGGCAGACTGTGTGCCAGGATTGCGCGAAGTCCTCTACCGTATCGAAATCTGGTTACTTAGATGGATATAAGATAGAAGGGAGGGTGGAGGTACTAAACAGCTACATTGTCGGATAGAACAGTCTGACTCGTCAAAAGTGCCGAGGTTACTCGTGCTCGTGGCGGTCAGAACTTAAGTGACCTTCTCAGTGAGAATACGTATGATAGTTCGACCGTTGCAAAGCGCGACATTCACTGCGCGCCTTGCGCGGATGGACGCAGTACCGGTCACTTGTGTGTGAAGTAGTTTATAGTAAAACAGACCTGTACCTCACCTACCGCACTTTCCCATCGACCGCCCATCTTGCTCCGACGGCAAGACAGTATCCAGACGGCCGGAGACGGGCTCGGGCGCAGTGGCTGACAAAGCTAAACAGACTGTCTACGAGTGCAATGCACGATCCGGTCCCCACAGCATATACCAGGTTTTTATTATGGCTGCTGGGATCTCACATGTGTCAGAAAGCCACCTTGAGTGGCAGCCATTGCAGTTTTACCCTCAGACCTGAGAAGGACTGAATTATTCCATCAGTTGGCATCTTCCCAAACCAGAATTGATAATGCCTCAGTGTTATTATAGCGAGAAATGTGCTGTGACGATGAATTTCCCAATGTCGGTCCCACTCTCCTTCCTCTCTCCCATGCACGAGTCGACTGTCCGATCCTGTCAGAAAACTTGTGCTGGAGTTGGACGCAGTGGTTATTAAAGCTAAGTAGGTGATTCAACTCTCGGCCCCCCAGTGGAGCCTAGTGGCTTAGCTGGTAGAACGTTGGCTGTACTAAAGCCATCCCCTTGCTGTCGTGGATTCGAATGTCACAGAGGTCACCGAGTTTTTCACAGGTGGGTCAAAATGAAGTAAGTATAAATAGCCTGCCTGCACATGTCGTACGACCTGGTTCCACAGTATGTATCAGGAGACACCAGAAGACATGCTTCTCACTTACGTGAGATTTGGATGTTCTTACATGCGACGTTTAGCCCGTTTTATATATCTGATGGCGAAGAGGGTCGCATGCCCACTATAGGAGACAGATGTGGTGTTACGGAGACTTCAGGTGTATGCGCGTGTTGCCGAGTATGTTCATAGCCAGCCTATGGATGTGTATGCGTGCCGCTAGCGCATTTTGTGACGGTGGGTCTCAATTGCGTTGCTTTACTGAAGATTTTTCCGGAGGCGCGTATGACCGGATAGATCCATACGACGTCTGCATGTCCAGGGACTGTGAGGGTAGGTGAGGTGGGAAAAGCGGATGTGCAGTCAGTGACGGGTCGCATGAAATGTTAGGCGAAATTCTGAGACGAGTTTTCGATTAAGAAGGATTACTTGCGTGGGGTTGTCGTAGTAAGTATCATGCTGCCTAATCCTCTGGTATTTCAGACTCGCCAGGATATTGGCTTTTGAATACACTTCTTCGAAACCTGTGAGAATCGCAGTGGGTAAAGAATGACTACATAAATAGTACGTATTTCTCACATTGATTTCCGATGCCCCCATGAACTCATGCCTATTTTACTGAAAGCATGCACAAAAAAGTGCTTTCTTTCACTCATTTGGCAGAAAATTACGTCGTCTTCACATTTTATACTCGAAGGAATAGTGCCTTTTGCCTTTAAAAAGTTCCTGACTACGAGATTTTTTAAGACCGTGCAGTGTCTGGTCATACAGCATCGTACCTGCGCCTTTATTAATGCTCCTCACGAAGCATGCAACATAGTCCGCATCCATTGAAAAACTTAATCAACTCTGCATGGCATCTTGTTAAAGGCGTAGAGGAATGTATTATTTTTCTTACTCGGACAATATACACCTTGTAGACTAAAATCGCTAAACGCTATTGCAGCAGCTGGTCTGGCTGAAAGTGATTGGGTAACTGGAGAACTTCTTCAAAACCTGAACATACCCTTTTATCAAGTATAAAATGTAAAGAAGACGTGGTTTGCTACCAAATGGGTGAAGGGAAACATGGTTTTTTTGTGTTTATCCTTTAAAACGTATTCGAATTTATGCGGCCGTCGAAAATAAATGTGCAAAGCACGTACTACTTGAGCAGTCATTTTCATTGAGTGCAGTTTTCACAAGTCGCAAAGAAGTCCATTTAAAAGCCAATATCCTAACGAGTCCGAAATATCAGAGGATTAAGCCGCGTGATAAGCAATATTACACTCCCGCTTAGGCAATCCTTCCTACTCGGGAACTCATTTCAGCATTTCGGCTAACATTTCATGAGATCGGTCGCTGACTGTATGTTGGGACTTCCAGCATTGGTTCGCCGGCCTCACTCTGATGGATTTGTCAGTGGCCGACCAGGCCGATGCGTGCTTCGAGTTCGCGCTGGTAGCACGGACGGCATGATGAGATTGTGGCTGGTGGCGATGCCGGTGGAGTTGATAGTGCTGGCGGTAAAGGTGTATGGAGGCTTAGGGGCTCGGTTTTCTGTGATGAAATCGCAGTGAGTGCGCTGTTGTGGCTACGCATATGGTCTAAAAGACCCATGCGTTGTCTGAATGTCATGGTTCGTCGGTTTCAGTACGACGGATTCTCAAACGACTCACCAGGCCTTTGTGTTGTGAGGTGTGGTCGCAGTGGGAACAGGTTGAAGTGAGTCAATATTGCTGTGGTACAGGCAATTGTGATAATTTTTTGCACAACGGTAGAAGTGTCGTCACTAATGATACTGATGGTGGTGTGTTGTTAGATGAGAAGTGGGAAAGTCGTGTAGACATTGCACTGGGTTCGCAAATTCTCCCTTTTCCTCTCTTTGGCACTACGAATTCTTTGGAGACTGCCTCATTGTCCGTGACGCGCGCTCTCATCCCGTTGTGTGGTTGCTTTTCCATCTGCATGAATCGCTCCGGACACCGGAATTTCAATATGATTCCCCGCAGTCCATCGCGGTCCATCTTGTCGATGTATTGTCCAAAAGTACTTTTTTGCCACCCTGATCCTGTTCGTGCCACCAGACCTGGTTGGCCTCGCCTATGCCAGACGATGACCTCAATTAGACTGGTGAAAAGCCAGCTCCTAGATTTCGCACCTAGGGAAAAAGCGTTCACCCGGCTTAGTCAAGACGTCGTTGAATATCCTCTTATGTGGCGTCCTACCTCAAGGTCCCCTCGATCATCGGCAGTTGTCAAATTACTTTTCCTTCCCCCTGCCCTTCCCATCCCATCTTCCACTTTGATCCTCTTCTTTGGTTGGACTCGGGAATGCGTACCCTCGTACTACAGGTGGCCTTACGCCAAATTTTAGGGGGAGGGGGGTACCTATTTCCGTGTCGCAGCCCTAACCCTCACCGGAACTACCTCGGGAAATTTAGAGTAAGGCCATCTGTAATACGGGGATGGTTATTTCCGCACCCTACCGCCAATTCTTGTCCGAGTGTTTCACTTAAAATTTCTACTTAGAAAAAGCCGATCCATTTCTGAGATGTCGGAGAATGAGGGCAAAGCAATTGGACAGAGTGTGTCTTTGTTTCATACATACACTGATTAACCATTACTTAAGTCAATGTTAGTTACAACGTCATATATTTTGACAGTCGCAGTGGAATACGTCTTAGCGTCTAGTCAAAGTCGCACAATCAGTGACTGTCAAAAGACGACTGAGTGGCACAAGGGATAAAGGACCTCACAGAGAAGCGATGTTCGTAAGTTTAGCCTGACTATGGGCTGGAATACAGGCCTTCGGCCTTGTCCCTGAGTCCCAGTCTGGAATCGTTACAGGCGGCTAGACAGCAATGACCGCTCCATCATGACCGACCTAGACAAGGAAGACTGGGGTGGTCGTTCCTGTCTTATTTGCCGTCGTCAGTCAGTCATAGCCCAACCCCATACCGGGAAGACCTGAGGTTTGAACCCCAGGCAAAAACGGTCACTAGCCGGCGACAGCAAATTAGCCAGAAATGACAACCCCTGACCTCCATGTCTTTGTCGGTAGAGGGCGCCTATTCCCGTGTCCTAGTACTTCTTTCTGCCTAACTTGTTGGACATTTTGTGTGTCGATGAGAATGTAGCCCACATTCTGCCATGGGTTGCATGACCTTCCCAGTTGCCGTGAGCCCAGTGTTACCCTTCTATTGAATAATGCCTTTAACGAGATGTGCAGGAAACGTCCCCATTTGCTCTCTATGCGCCGGTGGCTCGATCTTTATTGCCTTGCTGTCCCCTGACTTTAAAGAGTAACCTTGTCTCTCCATTCACTCAATCAGCTCGCTCACTACATCACCGTGGCAGAGCAACTAAAGGAACGTCTGCACGGACGCAAGACGTCTCCCCCACGTACCAAACAATGCCGTGAGAAACCATCCCACGACTCAAGCGCAGACCACTCGACGTCATCGCGCCCGACTTTAAAGCACTCCACAATAACTCCTGCCACGTAAGGGAATTTCACATTGTTGCCTGATTCTTCTCTGTAGAGTTCCTCCCGTCTCCAGTCCTGTCGCTCCCACCTCCGGCAGCAAATGTCTCTCCGCATTCCGGCGTGTTGGCCTGCTCATCAATTGGTTTGGTTCTCAGGCCGCTGAAGACGTCACAGCGTCAGCGGGCTCCACGAAGGAGGTGGAGACACCGCACGAGTACTCCATCAGCCGTCTAACTAGTCTGGGTTAGTGTACCTTTGCCCCTCGCTCTGAATTTATTCCTTTTTCTAATCAGGAGGGGATGATCCCATCGTACACAGTTCGCAGACCTAATGAGCCTCAACTCTGTAGACGTGACTGGTCGTTCCCGCGGTGCATGTCTCTAGGCAACTTGACGGCCATTTGGTGCTTCTACGACCGTCGACTGAGCTGGATGTTCGCGCGTTTCGGGCCATTGTACTGGGATGTCGGCCTACTCATGAGTAGAATGATATTACCGACAAAGACAAGGGAGACTGGAATGGCCATTTCTGGCTTTTTAGCCGGCGTCAGCCAGTCATACCCAACCTCGAAGTGTGGCACACCCGAGGCTCGAACTCGCGACCTTTTTGTTAGAAGTCCACGCCTCTAACCACTGGGCCACGTGCCCGTTGTCCTATCGTTTTTCGATCGGGAATATACAATGGTAGGGGGGAGGGCTCGAGAGAGAGAGTCCATAAGGCACAACGGAACGAGCGAGTTCCGTAAGAACGATCGGTGAGCGCCTCCTACTTATGTGTCCCTGGACCGCAATTAGCTAAAATGACCCGGCTTTCAAGATAAGGAGGTAGAACGCTGGTAATTACGGTAGCTTTGCTTCGCAGGTTCACCTGTGTGATTTACTTTTAATAAACACGTGTGAGTCAGAAAGTGGTTGGCACCGCCCTGAGCCGTGCTACGTCGGCGAGAATCGGGCGGGCACATCAGAGGTCACCGTTACTGCCGGACATGTCGGTCCTTGAGTAAGATTGAACTCTAAGGCTTCTCATCTGGGTTTAGAGTACTTTGATTCCTAACCGTTGATTTAGCTTGTCTCCCTTGTTTTTCGCACGTTTAGAACGTAGAGAATAGCCTACTCCAGGATGGGTCTTAGTGGTGAACTTTTATACGTCTTTCTGACAATGTAGTTTTCAATACCCCTTGACGCATTCGAATAGCCGTGGGACTCCTCATGCTCGCATCTTTTCGTTGTGACCCACTAATTTTGTTTCCTTGCGACACTCCTTCCTAACTGATTGCACTAGGCTAGCCCGAATCGCTGATAACACCCAATTTGGTGATACATTCTGTGCGCATTATTTACATCGCAATTTGTTGTTGTAAACGAGATCAAGTTTTTGGAAATTTATCAAACATAAATATGAGTTGCAAGCCGTGAGTTCGGGTCTAGTCCCCGAGTTGCCAGTTTGTGCTCGTGTAGGAGGAGAAACTGGCCACAGTTTTGACTTTCAAGGATCAACCGTCATAAGCTGGGGCACCTCAAGGACAGAACGTTTCATACTTCAGGCTTGGTACTCAGATGCAACTTCCATCAACCGGGCATTTAGACCTTCCTGCGACCTATAAAGTCGTACATCACTACATACGCCAGGATCAGGACAAGACCGTTACACAGAGCTTAAAGATACCGAGCGAATATAGCCCATCGACTAATTCACCTGAAAGGGCAGCACAGGTGCAACTGACCCCCATTGAGGTGATGGCGTATAACGCAGGAGGCCGCCAAGATTCACAAATAATGGCCAGAAAGCCAGTCCACCAAAAGAGGAAGAAGATTGATCAGCCCAAGGCCGACTATCTCGGTCGGTTATTTAAAATTCTGGTCGATTCCTTGCACAAGGCGCTGTCGTAATTGAGAACCGGCCAAGGCCTGTGAAACGTCAGTCATGCAATTCCTCTAATCCGGTGAGCCCTGCACATTTCTCACATTACCGATCCGAATCTCTTACGTTTGCTAACCAGAGCGTTTTCAATATCGCTAATGTCGGTTCGTATTTTTCTTCAAACTCTTGTTGTAGACGAACTTGTCGACCAGCAGACCTCGGGTTTGGCTCGTGTTGTTAGAAATCTGCGCAAATTCTACACCCTTGTAAGCAGTACTCTCCTTCTTTACTGTTCGTTTCCGCTTATTGTTGCTTATTGTTGGTTTTATTAATAAATTTGCCTTCTTAGCACACGCTTTGCGTCACCTTTTCGGAGCCATCTCGGAATAGCATTACCACACCCTCTGCGCACAGCAAAGCCACCACTCTCATGTGCAAACTCAGGCAATATATCGGTGGCATTATCCTTCAGTTTTCTGAGGGTTGTCAGCGGGCGAGTAGTTGGTGGAAAGAAACAGATAGAATGCACAAGTGGTTTCTATTTGGGATATTGCTTCCGTCAGCACAGTTAGTCCTTGGCAAGTCGAACCAGAACGTGCGGGTTATTCCCCACCGAAGTCGTGGCTTGCTGGACAGTGGTCGCGTGGGGCGGCCTGGTCTAGGGGTGTTTCCTATGGATTTTGGATTGGATGACGGTGGACCGACCTTTCCGCCGACCCCCTTCTCCTTACAACAGTTGAAGATTCCAGGCTCGTTCTAGGCGTTAGTGGCTGAGGTTTGGCACGATGGCAGGTAACATCCGACATTCATTTCAACATGTAGCCCTTTTGTAGGTAGTCGGTTTGTCCTGTCTCGCCTGAAGGTAATACCTCTGCATGCTAAGTGACTACTTATTTATCAGACCCGATAGTCTGATGTATTTCTAACTCGCCTTCGAAGGTCGTCTCTTTTTTCGTCATCTTTAGACTTGCTGCTAAATCCGCAGTCAAGCCTCACCTTCCCGAAGCCCTTGCTATCACGAAGCGTATAAGTTGGGACGGTCTTGCGCCGAGGAGTGTTTTTTAATCTACTTACATACCTTCTGCTCAAAGCAAGCGCGTAGTCCACAGAGTATGCAGACTAAAACTTTAGTCAAAAATGCGCCCCTCCCTCGCCGTAAGGAAGTTTACATGGTGGACACGCTCCACTTATGCTGTGATACTTGTAAGTAGTAGTACTAAACGTCTTTCGGTCGTTTTACGCCAGAAAAGGGCAAGCAGCCTTGCCAGGCAAACGCGCACGTAATGCCAAAAATTTCGGCAACACACAAGGTCTTGGCACTGCGGTTACCACGCCGATTTTTTGGCATGTTCCCAACAATCTTGTCAGTAGTTTGTCGAGGCAATAAGACTTGACGGAGGAGCGAGCGGTTGCTATTGATGTTCCTTGCTACCCAGGAGGGTTTTCTCCCCAGTTAGATTTCGCTGAGATGACTCGATATTTTTCTCATCAGGCATCACTGTGACAGTAGCCCTCAATTGTGTTTTATACGTGCACTGAATTATAAGCGGGAAGACCTGCACAACGCCCAATTTGCTCCACCCTCTTGCGCCTATCATGCCCCAATGGCAAGTCGAGACCAAGGCAACCATAGGTGAGCCCGGGTGCGGCAGCTGATCAGTCATAAAGCTCCCGTCTACGCGTGCCACGACACGGCTGGCCTATCAACCCACGCGAACTTGGCATCACTCAATTGGGTTCCGCGTTAATGAGAGTTTCCACAAGGCCGCTTTAGAAAGGAGATGGTTCAATCTGATCTCAACTCCTGAAAACCGAGTTGTGCCTCCACGTTTAAGGCTTCATGATAGTTTAAATGCGCACTAGTTGGACCATAGTGGAAAAGGTCGCGGATGCTAGTGAATTGTGGGAATTCTCATTGGAATATTCTTTCTTGGTAGTACATGGTGCAGGTGGGGAAAGTATTATCATCCACCAGGCACATTTTTCATCGCATAGGTTGTATCCTCCCGAAATATCTGAAACAGGACACTTTAAGGATATAAGGTTGCTTTCTTTCCCTTTATCGAGAAAAACTGTTATAGTCCAAAGTATCGACCGCCTATGCCTTTCTCAGCCTACCCTACCGAGGACTACCTTGCGGTCAACAGTATACTGTGGGCTGAACTGCCGTCGTTCAGTTTAAAATAGCAGTACGTGCGAATTCTTGAGCGCCTGCGCTCAGAGTCCAAATGATACATGAACTTTAGTCAAGAATGAGTCCTCGAGATGTTTTTTCTACCATACTTCCTCAATAGATCACGCCTTTGCAGACTTTTTGGGAAAACAGTATGGTTTTAGCTCAGTGGAGGTCATTTATTCTACAAGTAGCCGCATGCATAGCTCTCCTCCATCGAGCTGACGTGACATCGTATCCTTCAAGTCAGTGTGATGGCCAGTCATCCACCTATACACCGTGATAGCTGAGCTTCACCTAGTTCTACTACCTTCTTCAAAATTTCTGCATTGCATCCAAACGGATATCATTCGCTGGATTTTTGAGGCCTCACTCTTATTTAACCTATGAATTATAATTCGTTGCGCATAGGGTAGTTTCAACGTGTTGTATGATTTACGGCAGTTCGATAGGCCTTAGCTTCGAGGTCCACTACCGTCTGGGGGACGCAGCTGTGCCTTCCGTCTGAATTTTTGCATACTGACTCGGACTTGCATGGCACCCGCCTCAACCCCTTCTTTCACACTCACCGCGTTATAATGACAGGAGAAAGTAAAGGCAATCGGGGGAGGACACAGTGGCTAACGAAGCCGAATAGTTCACACACACGCGACACTCGGGCATATTCTCTCAAAGAGACAGGAGGCCTCGGATCCCCATCCGATAGTTCCATAAAGGCTACATTAAAAAGGACTCGTTGCAGCTTCACCCTCGCGTTAACCGAGAACCGAGCTATTTGTTCATTTTATGGTCTTTCAAGTCTCAACTTCAGCGTGTCGAATATTTTCAGGCCCGTCGGATTTTAGGTAGGGCATGGGAGTGTGGACTCCCTGTATTACATGGGCCTTGCACTACATTTGAGAGGGGAGTAGAGTTGGGAGGGTTAGGGTTATGAATGGGTGTTAGTTTAAGTTATGGCACGGAGATAGTTGTCCATTGGAATTTAGCGCAAGGCCATCTATTATTGTACGGGGGGAGATTTTTTTATGCTATAGGTAGCAAACTAATGAACTTTCGTGAAATACGTAAAAGAATCACTGTAATACGTATCCCGCCCACCCCGCGTCCTCGAAATCTTATAGTGTTAATAAAACGACGGTTCTTTAAAGGAACGCTTTTTTTGGTTCAAAAATTACTATTAGCTGAGAAATAATTTTCCTAGTCAAAAACCGGCAGTCCGGAAAACGATCATTTACAAGTCACTTTTTCAATGGCAAAGCATAACGCAGCATAAGAAATGTTAATGTATAAAAAAGAGGAAGTAATCAAAGATAATAACAAACACAAGATATCAGTACTTAGCTGATTGTCTTCTTGCCTGTAATGCACTAGAAAATTTGGCAGATTTGGAAACAAAGGAGTCCTCTATGACGGACTGGATTGTGTAATTTTAATTTTTTTTGTGTCAGTTGGGTCTGTTGGCAGGAATAAAAATGGTTTGAAGCCCCCAGGCGGAAGTTCTGGCTGTGGTCTAAAAAAATAGATTATAGTCATAACCCTCAGACTTTGGATGCCTATTCATTTCCCCAACTGTCATGCACAGGAACAACCACGGGAACTTCGTATTCGACCTCTCACCCTTCTTTTGTTTTTCTCCCAAACAGCTTCAGGAGCGTAAATTTCAGTCGGCGCTAAACTTTTTGGAGGAAAACTTTGCGGCTTGGTTGTCGGCTGTAAAAGGTAAATTGTGCATGCTTCGGTGCGTCAGCCCTCTGTTATTTGAAATGGAGTTTTCAACGTACTACATACCATGCCACAAGACTTTTCGGTCTGGTTTGACCTCCGCAATTTTGTGTTAGCGTTCGCTCTTGTTCAGGTCTACTTCACTTTTTAGCCGAAACACCCTACCGACCCATAACGGTGGAAAACCACAGAAGGAATGTTACCATTTGGACGCACTCAAATAATTTGTGTATTGGTGTTTTTAGTGAGGTCAGACCTTAAATTTTGCCCTACGAAGTCCTGACGAGGCTAGCGGGGAGGAGGATTCACGAAGTGGCATACTCAGAAGTTTGTCGGAGGCTATGAAGGAAAGTATGTAGCGTCTTCCGAGGCGGCTTTGTTGCTATTAGACCACAATTGACCACTACAACGGGAACTTTACGACATGTGTTCTCCCAAAAAGATGTAGAGGACTTTCAGTTCGATAAAAAAATTGTTCATAAATAATGTCACTTAAGCAGTGCGGAGCACTACAAATAACCAAGATCTGAGTTGAAATTATGGAAGGCACAATTGACCTGGAATCTATATCTGGGACAACAAACCACGTCTTAGTGCTGACATTTCTCCCTCCTAGCACGCGGGCTTTGAAGCGCAGCGGTTTTTCAGACAAGGAGTGGGTTTGTATTTGTCGGCTTAGTAATATTCATAAGGGTACCTGGCAAATAAATGATTCAGTAAGAACATTTATATCTTCCCAAGGTAATTTGTCTCCTCTGCGTCATCAAACATGTGTCACCTATAGCACAGGGTTTTACCACGCCTTAGGAACTTCCGGAAAGCAGTCTAATGAAGAAAAAAACTTGTCGATAACCTGTACCGAGGAAGTCCTGAGAAGGCAGAGGCATGTACGGACGTCGGGAATTTGAGATAAGACTGCAGGGCCTAAGGCCTATGTCGACGTGATTTAACTTCCCACATAACATTATGCCGTGAAACTAGTTTTTTTCAAAAAAGACCTTAACAAGATGGACATTTCAGCTCAGCGCTTGGGAAGAGATAGGAGATTGATAAAGGTGATACTTTTAGAGCTTTTTCACACTTTATTGCAAGCACCAGCAACCTGATATGAAAGAGTAAGAGAGTGTACTTATTAGACTGACTATCACCGAGGATAACTACGACTCCACCGCCACAACTTTATCGGGCAGACTTTGTATCTATACGAAAGCGGCAGAATGGGTATGATGACATTACTTGGATAGCAATGCCAGAATTCAGTTGTGTCTCCCTGAAAACAGAATAATCAGACCTGTGTAGGTTCTATTTCCGAAGCTCCTAGGCAAAAACTGAAATTTCCATCTCCGATACTGGTCAGTTAGCGATGGTCCCACGATGATCTTGGCTAGCAGCGTGTGAGCTCACGTAATAAGAGCGACGTGCCAGAGACACCGACGCCTTCGCGACTGTAGAGAGGCTGGTCGATAGTCTCAGGACGGACGGCTGCAATAACTCGGTCGTAGATTACCTTTGGACTTGGCATGAGAGCCGATCGATAAATTTTTCGGGTCTCCAACTGTGCTCTTAAAAAGCTATGGTAACTGCGACTCAGCATCCCAAATTAATGTTCCCAAAGCAAAGACAGTGTAGTCTTAAAGCGTGGCCGTAGCACGACGACAAAAAGGTACTTAGCGCACTGATTTCTGACGAGATGAAGGACTGCAATTGTGAATCTCCAGTATCTAAAAAAAGGCGCACATGGAATGCCGAGGGACCCACTGATGAGCCGAGCCCCTCGCAGCTATGTCATGCAGCGGCGGAAAATCAGTGAAACACGTGCCTGGGTATTTAGCTGGTACCTTTGCTGTCAGTTTGGTATATCACGCAACATGGGATAAGCGGATAGGAAATGGTAACCCATCCAGAGGCCCCCTCAAAAGTACTGAATTGAAATGCTGCAGACGTGTTTTGTTTTACTAGCCCACGCGCATTAAAATATTGCTGCCAGAAGCAGAGCCACTCTGCATTAGCTCTGGCCGAGCAGACTTTTGATCCCACTTCTCCCCCCCCCCGCTCACTTCTTTATACTCACCCGCAGGACATGTCCATTACAGTGCATGTATTCCTTTTCAGCCGACGACACTCCAGAACGTCAAAAAGCCTTCAAATTTGAGGTGGGTTCTCCTGTAGCCTCTTTTTCCGTAGATTTTGCTCCGTCTCGGTTTTTCCATCTATTATTCGGAAACACTGGAAGACTGTTTTAAGCAGAGGTCGCCTATTTTGTCGAACCGGCGGGAATACAGTGTCGCAACACTTAGAATTGTCTATTCCCCCACCAGCCTGTCTTACGGGCGGACTACTACTACTACTACTACTACTACTACTACTACTACTACTACTACTACTACTACTACTACTACTACTACTACTACTACCACTACTACTGCTACTACTACCACTAATACCGCTGTTACTACTAATACTACTACCACCGGCGGGAATACAGTGTCGCAACACTGAAGAAAACTTTTTCCCCCGTGTACCACCACTGATACGGCGAATACTACTAATAATCCTACTATTAGTACTACTACTACCACCGCCACCACGGCTGCCAATGCTACTCTACCAACGCTTACAGTATGGGTAACTAACTGCATAATACTAGCATCAGTAACGGAGTGTTGCGACACTGGTATCCAACCGTCGAACCTGTATAAAAGAAACTTGATAGTGACTTGGCATTTAGTAGTTGCTTGCCCGACACTGTTGCATCGTTCATGTTCATGTCTACCGATAACATACTAGAGTTACGGGGTAATAGCGTGCGCCGATTAATCCTGATTGCGGGACGGAAGTGAGCATTTCCACTTTGCCTTGGGCTGAGGTCTTACAGCCCACGCAGATGGTCCCGTGGCTACTAGCCGTAAACCATGATGGGGTTTCATGTACAAAGAGGGTGACACCAGAGTGCGCATTCTCGACATATTTACAGTCATCAAGCAGACAACCGACAGAACACTAGCTCCCCATGCTCTGGTGTGGGGCATGCAAACCTCGGGCTTGCAGTTAGTGCCCCTGTCCCTGTCAGTCATTTTGTTGAGGACTCTGTTTAGTCGAACACTGGACGCTTCTGAAGGCGAACGGAAAAGTTTCCAATCTTGAGCGAGGCACAGCGGCAGCACAGTGATGTAGCGGAGGGTGTCTGTTGGCAATTTTTCTAAATTCTGATCAGAGGTTAGTCAGCTCATGCCGCATCGTGACAGAGTACCCCTCGACGAGGCCGCAAAAGCAGCCATGTTCGCCACGTCTTCTTTGAGCCGTCTTACCCACCGTTTGATCCTGTCTACTGCGACTACTGACTGTTTCCAGAGATCGAAAATATTCGCGGATGTTCGTTTATTATCCTCTGAGGAGACTCTTTTTGATGCCCGATAACAATTGGATTTGCTAACAGAGTCCGCTCGATGGGCTTATCTCTGGATTCATGTGATCAAGAGGTGCCCTGTAGTCAGGGGAAATCTTGTAAGGTGTTAATTTGCAAATGGAGGAGTTGGGAGAGTGTATTGGTGTCCATTTTTATGGTGCGGAATTCTAGAATCTCCT